GTCCCTGACTTACAATGGGTTGATGCCACTTTTGGTGGCGCAAAAGTGAGGCACATTCAACAGAAACTATTACTTCAAATTCTAGGTTGTGCTCTTCTGCTGGGCTGGTGACTTGTGGCTCAATGTTACACCCTGGGCCTTTCAAGACTATTTTCAATACTTACATACTTTGCACATTTATTCAAACCTAGTTTTACCGGGTATGCTACTTTTTTACAAAGTCTGTGCTATTTTTAAATTGTATTATAATTCTGAATCACAGACTCTGTAAGACAGACTTGTAAAACAGAAATGAATAAGAAAGAAAAGGAAAAAAGTCAACAGAAAGTATCAAAACAAATTTCTCTTGAACTCATTACTGAACATTTTTGCTTTCTAGGGATACGAAAAAACACAGAAGACAATAGCTACCCCCAAGACGAATGCCCTATCACTATTAGTACATGAAAGTCTTTTACAAAAACAGTCTGTTTCAGAGGGAGAAGGGAGGGTAATAACTGGTTCTCAAGTTTCAAGCTGAAGGGCCTGAGTGGACAGTGGGGCCACATGACAAGAGAAGGACCCAATCTGAAGCTGTGGTCGTCTCCTACCGGGTCTTCCCACCCACACTCCAGGACAGCGCATGAGCAGTCTAAGAACTTGACTCGCCCCTGCTCCAGAGGTGCACACACATTGTGACTGCTTTGAGCCATAGTATAAAACACCTCTGCACACCTGGCCCACAGGCATGGACGAGGGAGGGCTTGGGCACCTCTGCCAGGGGCTAAGAGGAGCCAATTCTCTCTGCCTGCTTGGACTTGCCATACGAGGTGCCTGGTAATTGCCAGCAGGTGTTTTATTTATTTATTTTTTACTGAAGTTAGCCTAAGAATGATCAAAGAAGAGGACAAAGCCACAGCAAAGAAGCGAAGCCACAGCTCTGATGAAACCAGGATCAAGACTAGACTGTCTGTGGACTCCCTGGCCAGGAGCTTTAACCTGTTGCTGGAAAAACCTAGGCACCGGTGCACACTTGCACGCAGGCTTCCCACCGCCTACAAGTGCAGGCACAGAACCTCAATAGAAATTAGAAACAGGGTCTAGGGCAATGACATCGCCCTTACACAGGAAACTGGATACTCTGTCCTGCTGGCACCTGGGGAGCAGATCACAACACTGCCAAGACAGAGGACCCAGGGCAGAAGGAAGGAGGAGGCCGGGAGCCGAACTGCCACCCTTGTGGCTCTCACTGAGGTCACACTGGCTGGTCTCTGAGTTTTCCAATGATTCCTACCACTGAAATGTAAAGTACTTAAAACTTTCAGGATTTAGAAATTTAAATCCCAAGAAAATATCCACTTAGAAGAATAAAGCCTTAGATCCTATTTGATCCTGGCTATGAAGTCCCTATAATTATTAAAATAATCAGAAATCTCCGTGCACTGTGCCCCACCCCTAAAGTGTCTACACATTGGAAGGTGAAGGAAGGTAAGATTAAATAGTTTCTGCATTCAGGTGTTAACCTGGGTGGGGGTTGGGGGGTTGGAAAACACAAAGGCTGAAAAGCATATCACAACACATGGCGAGCAGGGCAGGTGCCACCTGGGGCAGCTGTGCCTGGTCAGAGTGGTGGCTGGGATCCTGGCTCCACTTCCAACCCCAGCGTCCTGCTCCTGTGCACCCTGTGAGGCAGCTGTAACGACCGCCACCCACTGGAGAGACTCTGATAGGTTCTGCCTGGACCATCCCCACCTGTTGTAGACATTTGGGGAACAAACCAGGAGATGGAAGCTCCCTCCAAAATATCTTTCAAATGTGAATATTTTCACATTTGGAAAAAAAACATATTTTCAAATGTGAAATCCTGGCCATGCTATCACTTCTTTCCTCAGGCTGTGTGAAAGAGCTAACCAGGCTCCTGGGGAAGGGCTAATAGACTCCAGCACCGGGACAAAGGGTTAAACATGCTTACTGGAGAACCCCCAGCCAGCGGACACCCTGCCTGCTCTTCCCACCCGGGGCTCCTGGTGAGCTCTGCACCACCCCAGGGGCTCCCCCACCCTTCTGGCCTCCCGCAGGCATCTCCATTCGCCCGTTCTCCCTGTTCTCCCTCTCCCTCCACCTTCTCCCTTTTGCTCCCACTGTGCTTTTGCTTCTCCTCCCTAGTCTGATCATATCCAGTGGTCTGAACAATTCGAGATAGAACAGCTCATTCCACCAGTTCCGACTCCTCCAAAATCCTAAAGTTGAAATGCTAATCTTAAGGATACTGGCATTGGGGTGGGGGCCTTGAAGTGATTCAGTCGCCAGAGCAGAGATGAGGGTCAGAGTGACTCTGAGAGATCCTCTGTCCTTCCCTCAGGTACAACTTGACAAGAAGGAACTTGCCCTGGTCCCCTGAGCTGCTGGAAGCCCAGTTCTTGGGGTCCCAGCTGCTCAGCTCAGAGCATTTGTCTTTGAGACAGACTGGGACACCACGTAATGAACTTATTGCACATGAGGGTAGACTGTTTTGATGCCCACTGTATCATCTGTAGGCAGGAAAATTATTTTTACTTATGATTTTAAAATGTTTGTTGGGGGAGGCTTGGCATGAGAGCCTAGTGGCTAAATCCTCGCCTTGTGTCTACTGGGATAACATATGGGCGCCCGTTCCTATCCTGGCTGCTCCACTTCCCACCCAGCTCCCGTTTGTGGCCTGGGAAAGCAGTCAAGGGTGGCCCAAAGCCTTGGGACCCTGCACCCACATGGGAGACCCAGAAGAAGCTCATGGTTCCTGGCTTCAGGTCACCTCAATTCTGGCTGCTCTGGCCACTTGGGGAGTGAACCAGCAGATGGAAGATCTTTCTCTCTGTCTTTCCTCTCTGTAAAAATCTGACTTTCCAATAAAAAAAAAATAAAATAAATCTAAAAAAAATGTTTGTTGGGGCATAATAGTTAATTATTGTGTTGTGGCACAATAGTTAATTAAGCAGCCTCTTACGACGCTGACATTGTATATTCAAGTGCTTGCTAGCCAGCTCCCTGCTGATGCACCTGAGAAAGCAGTAGAAGATGGCCCAGAGGCTGGTCTGCTGCATCCACGTGGGAGATGAGGAGAGTCCCTGGCTCCTGCCTTTAGCCTGGCACATACCTGGCCATTGACACCATCTGGGGAGTGAATTCGCAGATGGAACATCTCTTTCTATCTGTCCCCCTATCACTCCTTCAAATACATAAACCTTTTTTGAAAATCAGATTTTGAATCAGTTGGCAATAGATTAACTAACTAAACATCAGTGTCACAAAGATAAGCTGCCACTTGCTGACCACAGAATAACAATTTTTTACTTTGAAGCTGGGATCCAAAAGTCTGGTCTTCAGTATAAAATTAGTTTTATGGCTTACTAATCTCCACTACTGAAAACTGGCATTTGGATTCTGGGATTTAGGTATTTTGTATACTCTATTTTTTTAAAAAATCACAATTTCCCTAAATAATTTCTATTAAATAAATATGATACTTAATTTCATATAACATTATAAATTAAAATGTTGTGGATTTAGTGAGTGATAAGGCAAGCAGGTAAAGCCACTGGCTGCAATGCCAGCATCCCATATGGGTAGCAGTTCCCAGCTGCTCCACTTCTGATCTAGCTCTCTGCCAATGGCCTAGGAAAGCAGCGGAGGATGGCTCAACTGTCTCGGCCACTGCCCTTCACATGGAAGACGTGCGAAAAGCTCCCGACTCCTAGCCAGACAGCTGGAAAGTGAACCAGCATACAAATGGAAGCTCGCTCGCTCACTTTCTCTCTATTGCTCTGTTTCTGTGTGTGTGTGTGTGTGTGTCTCCTTCCCTAACTTTCAAACAGTCTTGAAACAAAAACTGCAGTGAACGCTTCAGTGTGACTTGGCTTTGACCTACCCATAACATTATTAGCAAGTCACAGCATCCTCACTACTACAGAAAATAACTAATCGCCTTTTACAAACTCAAAGTAAGGAGGTCAAAAGAGAGAAGAAATGTGGCAGGGGAACTCAGTCCCTCCCAAACACATGTTCAGTGGTACAGCACAGTCAGAAAGAGCAACTCTTGGGGCAGATGCTTTACCAAGCAGCTAAGATCCTGCTTAAACACACACACACACACACACACACACACACACACACACACACACACACACACTGCCTACCGGAGTGCCTGGCTTTGTTCCCCAGCTCACCTTCCAATTCTAGATGCCTGTTCATGTGCACCTGAGAGCTCAACGATTTGGGTCTTTGCCATTCAAGTGACAAATCTAGATCAAGTTCTAGGCTTCTAGGTCCAGCCTGATCCAGCCCTGGCTATGGAAGGCATTTGGGGAGGGAACAAGCAGGTAGATGAAGACGTCTGTCTATTGCTGGCTCTCTGACTTTAAAATAAACAATAAATTTTTTTTTATTTAATATGAATTCCTAGTTCCTGGAACACAACTGCTAAACTTTAGGATTCTATCCTTTGTGATTTCCATTTTTGTTTTTTATAGCACCCTCTTAAATCTCTATGGACACACATAGCAAATCTTCCTCACTAGAATTTAGGTTACATTTTAAAGTTTTCTTCTCGTTGCAAGACCTATCAGACACCATTTATGCATTAAAGATACTTACAGTAGGTTCTTATACATTTATACAAAGAAAGCAGGGTACCAGTGCACAAGAGCATGTTACATGATGGAGTTAAGGAGCTTAGCCTCAAGTCCTTCAGCGAGCTCCAGGATCCTCTACAACCTGGATTCACTTTTCAGGACAGAGAACAGAGACCCAAGCAGGATGGTGCGTGTCATTTTGCCAAATAGAAAAATCTGTATGTTACAGCTTACTGTGGGACATCTCCTGGGACAGTAAGCCACAAGTCTGGCACTCTTCACAAGAGACTTCCACTGAGTAAGTTCCCTTCTCGCTGGGACGCCAGGCTGATAACCCTGATCAGGCCAGTGCGGCAGAGGACTTCCCCAGGGACAGGTGTTCTTAAAAGCGAAGGAAGCACGCAAGGTACTAGCCTGTCATACGCTGCAATCATGAAGTTGAGCAGGAGGCTGATGGACTGCTCCACGCTGATCTGGTGCGTGGAGGGAAGGCGCTTGTTGAGCTGATAGTAGATGGAGGAGATGACAGTCTCCAGGCGGGACACGCTTGTCTCAGTGGTGTGGTCCAGGGTATTAAGGCCGTTGTCTCGGAAGGCTTCGATCATGTTCCAGATATCGACGAGATGGACTGAAACACAGGACACACGGGCTGTCAACGTGCTGAAGGTGCCTAGAGTGGTCACCCAGTCCCTACACTCACGGCAGGCTCAGCCAGCCATGAGAGAAGCAGGCTGTGGGGCCACCTGAGGAGCACCAGGCAGTACTGGCCTTGACCATGCTTCACTCATACTGACCAGCTACAGGCCTCTGCAAAGAGGGGCCCAGGCAATTCCTAACCACAGGTGACTTGGGAGAAAACAGCAAGAATTAATTGTAAGAACTCCTAGCCCTGTTAGTAATTTGCTGTGTTATCTTGAATTGCCTCATTTTATTACTGGCGCCCAATATGCCTAGCAATATTTTACGATTTCAACTGCATTCTCGAAGGCCCCAAGGAAAGACAAACACAATGGAACAGGATGCTAACACGCCTTGCAGAGTGCTCACAGCTGCAAACTAAAGCCAAAATAATGCCCTACTTTCCCCATTATTTAAGAAGTTGATTTTTTTTTTCCTTTTCCCATTTGCAATAATAAGGTATGCGGCTACCAGAATCTACCCATTCCCAAACAGCAAAAACAGATCTTTTTTAGTGTGCTGGTGACTCCTGAAAAACAGAAAACAGTGCTCAACCAGAAAGAAAAGAGACAGGTCCTTCAAAAGACAGCAGGATGGGGCCTGAACTCAAGTAACGAAGGCGGGAGAAGACTGTAACCTCTGACCTGAAGAAAATGGACACCATCTTAGAACAGAAGGAAAAAGGAGGGCCCAGTGTGGTAGCCTAGCGGCTGAAGTCCTCAGCTTGCACGTACCAGGATCCCATATGCACACTGGTTCTAATCCCGGCAGTCCTGCTTCCCATCCAGCTTCCTTCTTGTGCCCTGGGAAATAACTGGAGGACAGCCCAAATCCTTGGGACCCTGCACCCGCGTGGGAGACCCAAAAGAGGCTCCGGGCTCCTGGCTTTGGATCAGCTCAGCTCCGGCCATTGTAGCCTCTTGAGGAGTGAGCCATTGGATGGAAGATCTTCCTCTCTGTCTCTCCTCCTCTTTGTATATTCGACTTTACCATAAAAACAAAATAAATCTTTAAAAAAAAAAAGGAAGAAGATGGAAAATGGAGGTGACAGGGAGGTGAAGGCGGGGGAATGCTGGAAAGCCCAGTCATCTCAACAAAGCTGTGCTTGGCAAAATGCAAGCCTCTTCCATAATGAAGACACAAAAGACTTAGCTAACGAGAAGCATAACCTGATGAAAGACATTGACACAAAACCCACAGCTAACACCATGCTTAGTGTGGGAAGACTGAAGGCTGTCCCTTAAGATTGGGAACAAAGCACCTGATATAAAAGCAACCCAAGAAAAACTAGGAACGCTGCAGTTAAATCAAACTACACATCTTAGTGAGCAGGAAACTCACGGGGTGGAAGAAAGTCCTGGCATGGCACACACTGATAAAGGGCTAAGGTCCAGAAGGTATAAGAACTCTAATAACTCCGGAAAGAGAAAAATGAATTTAAACATGAGAAAATGATTTCAATGGACATTTCTCCAAAAGCAGATGCAACATCTACTTAAAAATGTTCAACGTCATCAATCACTGGGAAAACACAAACAAAAACTCTGACATACCACTTCACAGTCATTAGAGAGGTTACACTTTTTAAAAAAACAAGATTTATTTTTATTGGAAAGTTAGATATACAGACAGGAGAAGAGACAGAGTGTTGGATCTTCCGTCCGATGATTCACTCCCCAAGTGGCCGCAATGGCTGTTGCTGATCCAATCTGAAGCCAGGAGGCTGGAGCCTGCTCCAGGTCTCACACATGGATGCAGGGTCCCAAGACTCTGGGCTGTCCTCAACTGCTTTTCCAGGCCACAGTCAGTGAGCTGGATGGGAAACGGGGCCGCCGGCATTAGAACCAGCACCCATAATGGATCCTGGTGCGTGCAAGGCGAGGACCTTAGCTACTAGGCTACAACACCAGGTCCAGAGTGGTTACATTTATTTTTATTTATTTGAAAGGCAGTGACAAAGAGAAACAGAGTAAGATCTTCCATTCACTGGTTCATTTCCCAAATGCCCCCAACATCCAGGGTTGAGCTAAGTAAAAGCTGAGGGCAAGGAACTCCACCTGGATCTCTCACATGGATGGTAGGAACCCAAACACTTGAGCTGCCTCCCAGTGTGCACAGTAGCAGGAAGCCGGATGGGAAGAGGAGGAAGCATTCAAACCAGGCACTGTGACATGGCATGTGGGCATTCCAAGAGGTGGATTAACTGCTGCACCATAATTTTTTTTAAATAAAAATTAACAAGTGCTGGTGAGGATTTGCAGAAGTTGGAACTCTGGCACACTGCTAATATTAATAGAAAATAAGGCAGCTGGGTGCCAGCATTTTGACACAGTGGGTTAAGTCACTACTGCAATGCTGGCATCCCATAGGGGCACCAGTTCGTGTCCTGGCTGCTCCACTTCAGATCCAGCTCCCTTTTCCAAGGCTGATGGCCTGGGAAATAATGGAAGGATGGTACAAGTCCTTGGGCATATACCACCCAGGTGGGAGACCTGGCTTTGGCCTGGCCCAGCTCTAGCCAATGTGACCATCCGGGGAGTAAACCAGAGGATGGAAGACACCTCTATTGTTCTATCTCTCCCTCTTTCTCTGTAACTCTGGCATTCAAATAAATAAATCTTAAAAAAAAAAAAAAAGAAAGAAAGAAAAACCGAGGCTGCTTTCCAAAATAGTTGAGCAATTTCCTAAGAAATCAAAGAGTTCCCATATGGCGCGGTGACTCCTCCCCCAAAGAACTGGAACATATGTTCACATAAACACTCGCACACAAACACGCACAGCCACCCCACGCGCAGAGGCCAAACGCTGGCAATTGCTCATGCAGTGGAAACATGGGGCGAAAGGCACATGCAAGAAGTGTCCCATGGCCCTGGGAGGAAAAGACGCCCCACTGTGCTCAGCAAAACGCACAGCATGGGACACGTGAGGGCAGGTGAGGGACAGTGGCTGGGTGGGAACATACACTGTGTGTGCACCCACCCAGGGAGGCACGCCAAAAAACATACAAAAGGCTCGCTGTACGAGTGCACAGCTGTGGTTGGGTTGTTGCTAGGCTAAGGGGGAAGCAATGAGTACACTGAATGTGGGGTGACTCCATGAGGTGGGGAACATGTTCTAGAACTAGAATTAGAATCACTCAGCTGGCATGCTTTGAAAAGGTAAGTTTGTGGCTACAAGGATTATATATTTTCAAACTGGTATGAAACGCATTACTAAAGGTAAGGGCCACTGCCAGGTGACAATGAAAGGTTTCATTCCTTAGGAAAAAAACAAAGGAACTCCAAATTTATTTATACTGACTGAAAAAGCCTCTACACACCAAAGCAAAAATGAACAAACCTCAGGGGGTAACGCTGTGGTGTAGTGCATTAAGCCGCTGCCACCAAAGCCACCATCATATGAGCTTCAAGTCCTGGCTGCCTGGACCTCTGTGTCCAGGGGGAGTGAGCCAGAAGACAGAAAGGATCTCACCTCACAGTATTTTCCTCTCTCTGTAACTGCCTTCCCAATAAATAAGTGATTTTTAAAAATTAACACCAGAAGCAAATTCACAAGCTCAGTGGGAAATAGGACATTCCTCTCCTAGTGACAATACACACATATTAAGAAAAAGGAAATACAGACACGGTGGTTAAACTTCATGCCTAGGGGCCAGCTCCATCACATAGTATTCAACCTGTGGCACTGGTATCCCATACAGGAGCCAGCTGGTTTCCCAGATGCTCCACTTCCCATCCAGCTCCCTGCTTGTGGCCTGGGAAAGCAGCTGAGGATGGCCCAGGGCCTTGAGCCCCTGCACCTGTGTGGGAGACCTGGCGGAAGCTCCTAGCTCCTGGCATGATAGGCTCTGCTCCGGCTACTGAGGCCTTTGGGGAGAGAGCTAAAGCACAAAGATCTCGCACACCCTCTCTCTGTTTCTCTGTAACTCTGCCTTTCAAATTAAAAAATAAACAAACCTTAAAAAAAAAAAAAACTTTACATCTAACAAAGCAGCCAAAGTGAGCACCAAATAGCGAACTGTGCCCTGGATGAGGGAATAAGCTTTACTCTTAAGTCCATAAAGACTACCTATCAAAATCAACCATATTCTGAGCTACAGCATGCCTCTCAACAAATTCCAAAGAATTAAATCCCTACCCATCATACCCACTGACAAACTCAAGCTAATCATTATTACAAAGACAGATTTTTTTAAAAGATTTATTTATTTTTATTGGAAAGGCAGATTTACACAAAGAGGAGATACAGAAAAAGATCTTCCATTCGATGGTTCACTCCCCAAGTGGCCGCAATGCTCGCAGCTAAGACGACCCAAAGCCAGGAGCCAGGAGCCTCCTCTAGCTCTCCCTCGCGCGTGCCGGTTCCCGAGGCTTTGGGCTTTCCCAGGCAGGGAGATGGATCAGAAGTGGAGCAGCTGGGACACAAAGATGTAAAGGGAGAATTTGGCCACTAGGCTCTCACAACGGGCCCACAAGGACAGATTTTTTTTAACTTTATATTTAGATATGAGGAAATACACTATCAGAGCGTTCTTCATTCAATTAAGGTTCCACAAGGAACTTGCAGCAAACACATGATTAGCACTGCTGACACTGGGGATGAGACAAGGAATGCCCGATTCTAGTGTGTTTAAGGCCCAGCCAATATAAATACGCAAGATGAAACAATTATCAGTGTTAGGTATCAGAGTTGAATTAATGCATTAATCAGGAATGACGAAAGTGTACACATGGAATATCATAAAGATTCTAAAGAAAAAAATTAATCTGAAACACTGCTAGATAAAAGGACAAGATACTGAAGTAACTATATTGCAAAGATCAGCAACATATGAGAAAGCTTACAAACACTATTTATAGGAACCGGCACTGCAAGCCTATGGCACCAGCATCCCATATGGGCAACAGTTTGTGTCCTGACTGCTCCATTTCCTATCCAGCTAGCTGCTTACTGCCTGCAAAGCAGTGGAGAGTGGATCAAGTGTCCTTGGGCTCCCTGCAGCCACATGGGAGACGTGGAAGGAGCTCCAGGCTCCAGGGTCGGCCCAGCTCCAGCCATTGGCGGCCATTTCAGCAGTGAACTAGTGGATGGAGAGCAGCTCTCTGTCTCTCCTCCTTTCTGTAACCCTGTCTTCCCAGTAAAAAATAAATCTTAAAGAAAAAAAAAAACTTATAATGATGTCACCCCTGGGACTAAATCCAATGAGAGCTGAGATTGCTACAAAGAAATCTGAAACTGTCATAGCCAGAAATGAAAGAGTTAGATAAATGCAGTGTGGCTATATCATCTTCAAAAGAGGAAATCTCAATACTGGACATGTCTCCCCAGCTGAATACACAGATTCAAACCACCTTAGTCCAACACTGCAGGCAAGGCTGTTACTAAACAGTCAGTTTTACTCTATGTAAATTAAGCCTGAAAAAAGAAATGCAGGGCAAAACTCTAGCACACCTTTTGTTTTCACTGTTTTTAGGAGAAAAGGACAAGTCATTTCTAAAGTATATATGAAAAATATAAATAAAAAAAAAACCCAGAAGGGCCTGGCGCGATAGCACAGTGGTTAAAGTCCTCGCCTTGCACGCCCAGGAACCCATATGGGCGCCGGTTCTAATCCCGGCAGCCCTGCTTCCCATCCAGCTCCCTGCCTGTGGCCCGGGAAAGCAGTCGAGGACAGCTCAAAGCTTTGGGACCCTGCACCCACATGGGAGACCCGGAGGAGGGATTGGCATAGCATTGGCCGTTGCGCTCACTTGAGGAGTGAATCATCGGACGGAAGATCTTCCTCTCTGTCTCTCCTGTCTGTATATCTGCCTTTCCAATAAAAAAAAAAAATAAATCTTAAAAAAAAAAACCCAGAAAACAAGATTATCTCAGAGACATGTGAAAAAGCAGACTTTAACAAAATTGATACCAAGGTGCACTATCAAGCTGCCACAGTGGCTGCTGGCTCCGGAGGCTGCGGTTTGGAACAGTGTGGTGATTGGCACAAGACAGCAGAGCAATGGAGCAAACGAGAATCAAAAGCAGACCCCTCTCCTTGGTCTTCATATTGGTTTATTTACTTGAAAGGCAGTGTCACAGGGGGCGAGTGGGATGAGATCTTCCATCTGTTGCTTCACTCCCCAAATGGCTGATACGACCAGAGTTGAAGCCAAGAGCTTCTCCCCAGGCCTCCCACATGAATGCAGGGGCCCAAGGACTTCCAGGTGTCCTCTGCTGCTTTCCCAGGCATATTAATAGGAAGTTGCATCAGAGGTGGAGCAGCTGAGACTTGAACCAGTGCCCCTAGGAGACTCCAGCATCACAAGCAGCTGCTTTACCCACTACACCTTTCATGTTCACGTTCAAACATTGCTACAGAAACTCTCAGACAGCATACCAGTGAGAAGAATCTAGCAATGAGGCGAAGGATGGCCTTCTCAATAAACATGGGAGGCACAACTGTACACTCACATGGAAAACATTACAGTGTGACTCCTTTTTAAACTGTGCACCTAAATGCAAGATTTAATGGCATTATAGGAGCATACATGAAAAGGTAGCTAAATGTAACATTCAGAAAATGTAGGTTTGAGGGGCCAGACTGTGGTAAAGTGGGTAAAGCCACTACCTGCAGCACCAGCATCCCATATATATGCCAGCTCGGGTCCTGGCAACTCCACTTCTGATCCAGCTCCCTGCTAACAGCCTGGGAGAGCAGGGGAAAATAGTCCAAGTGCTTGGGCTCCTGCACGCACAGGAGAGACCTGGAAGAAGCTCCTCCTGGCTTCTGGCTTCAGACAGGCCATCTGGAGAGTGACCCAGTAGATGGAAGATCTCTGTCTCTCCTTCTCTCTCTTTATGACGCTTTCAAAACAAATGAATACTTAAAAAGTTTTACCTACAGACCCAGCACAATAGTCTAGTGGCTAAATCTTCACCTTACATTTGCTGGGAGCCCATATGGATGCCGGTTTATGTCCCAGCTGCTCCACTTCCCATCCAGCTCTCCGCTTGTGGCCTGGGAAAGCAATTGAGAATGGCTCAAAGCCTTGGGACCCTGCACTTGCATGGGAGACCCAGAAGAAGCTCCTAGACCATAGCTTTGGATCAGCTTAACTGGAGCCATTGCAGCCACTTGGGGAGTAAACCAGTCAACAGGAGATCCTTCTCTGTCTCTCCTATCTGCCTTTCCCATTAAAAACTGAAATAAATATAAAAAACTACACCTAAATAAACATGTATTTACATACAAATATACTTAATTTATTTTGTAATACACAAGGTAGCAATTACAAAAAAAGTTAATTCACATTAAGTTGCCCCAAAATTCTTGTTTCTATTAAAGTATGAATGTTTTTTCTCCAAAAGCTAAAAAATTGTTAATTTTGTATTAAATACATGATTAATAAAAGAGACAAGAAATAAATTCTCCCATCTAAATTGTATTAATATGATGGCAGCCTCAAAACTAATCACCTAATTTAGTCAAACGTTCTGAAGGACACAGACGACAAGTCCTGTCCATTACAAAGTCTGAATTCTGGGAACCTCAGTGACAAAAGAGAACTTAATTAACATTAAACAGTCATGATGCAAAGTCATGAGTATCTTGCATGATACTGGCAGTTCTATCCGGTGAGCACAGAGGTGAGCAGACGTGACTTACGGTTGCATCGTTTCTGTACAAATCGCAACTTGCAAGCTGTTCTGTACGTTGATAGTCGGATGACATCAAAGTTCTGAGCACCTGGAAAAAGTGCAAGTCCGAGTGTTCACTTGGATTTACCATTTACTTTCTAAATGCCAGGGGCTGACTCCACCCCTCCACCACTGTGATGGCAGTGACATCACAGCTGTGACATCACAGCTGTGACATCATGGTGGTACACAACAGGTCAACTAAACTTTCTGACAACACAAAATTGGAGCGAGGTTTGATAACTTGCTGCCTGCCCAACACTCTCCCATCACTAGACTAGGAAGACTCTGGGGTGGCACTGGGGAACACTCATGTCTTTATGAACAAACTGCATGCCCAGGGAAGGTTGTGATCTTTAAACTCAAGCCCCAGCCCACAACACATGACAACAGCCAAGCCACCTCTTCTGAGCCATCGTGTTCTCCCAGAAATGGGGGAACCAGACCAGCTGACCCCTAAATGTCCTTCCCAGCATCATGGCAGTCAGGCTTCTTTGAAAAATAGCCCTAGTCATACTTGCAGACAGGATCTACATGTCCCTCCTGTGAAGAGCTAGACAGCATATCCCACTGCGTAAGGCTGAGCAGGGCATTGCCTCAATGGCTGGAGCCCAGCAAAAGGGATGGAGAGATGGCTACAAGCAGGCCGCCTGGAGCCCGCACTCACCCCCTCTGGACACTTGCCATGGGGACCTGGGTGCCATGCTGTGAGGAAGCCCAGTCTAGCTGCTGGGAAGAACAACAAAGACAGTAACTTAAAATGCAGGGTCAACTGCCAGACAGGGGAGGCAAAGAGCCCAGGACAAGAGCCTCAGGCCTGTGACTCCCCACTCAGGCCTCAGGGCGTGAGGTGGAGGCACAGGACACCCAGTTCAGACCCACAGTCAGTAAATGACAACTGGAGGGCCAGAGATAGTCACAGCAACTCAACAGAGCCTAAAATCACTCAAGTCAAGGTTTACTCTCATTTAAAAACTCACTGAATGGAGTATCCTTGACAGCTAAGGTTATGTTAGGAAGGCCTGACCCCAACTGGAGCTGTTTACTGCCCTGAGGCGCCTTTCCCAGAGCCGCAGCAGCTTCAGAATCAAAGAGGGAACGTGAATGAGCACAGGCTGTCTCCCACAGTGCCTACAGAGATCTCTCTATTCTGCCCACTTCATGGCTGCCAGACAGGGCTAGATCACAGTATCTGCCAGCGAGAGTTGGAACAGAGACTGCCAGTGTTGGGCTGGGCCACGATACTAACTAGCACATAAGGGAATCAGGTCTGGGAGCAGAATCTGTGGGGGTGTATGTGGGCCTACCCCTACGGAACTGCAATAACTGCTGGTTTGCTTAAAAGTAATGGGCTGTGGGCACAATAGCCTAGTGGCTAAAGTCCTTAACCTTGCATGCAGCGGGATCCTCATATGGGCAACAGTTCTAAGCCCAGCAGCCCCACTTCCCATCCTTTTCCCTGCTTATGGACTGGGAAAGCAGCCAAGGATGGCCCAAAGCCTTGGGACCCTGCACCCATGCGGGAGACCCAGAAGAAGCTCCTGGCTCCTGGCTTCAGATTGTCTCAGCTCTGGCCATTGCAGCCACTTGAGGAGTGAATGAGCAGATGGAAGATCTTCTCTGTCTCTCCTCCTCTCTGTATATCTGACTTTTCAAGAAAAATAAATAAATCTTTTTTTAAAAAAAGAAACACTTTATTTAAAAAGAGAGAGAGAGAGAGATGGGCTGAGTTAAGCATGGCCATGGAACCCTCTGACATTATCGGTACTGGGATTGAGTACAGGCCAGGCTGCAGTACCCACAGGCACACCCAAGAATAGGTGTGGGACAGACCAGGCCACAACATCCACCGCCTCATACATAGGCTGGGATGGAGGGCATAGACTATGCTGGCTGAGGGCCTAGCATCCACTGGTATGTGTGAGATCTGGGTCTGGGGGTGGGCATGGGGGGGAGCTTGGGAAACTTCCCTGGATGGGCCATAGCTCCCACCTGTGAATATGTGATCCAGGCCTGGGTATTGGCAGGCTGAGCAGGGTAGCTCTACCCACTGGCAAGTACGTGGGTTGGTTCTGGAGGGGGGTGGACTAGGCAGGACCATGCCAAGCTTAACCCACTGGCAAATGCAGCAGCCAGGTTGCAGTATGGGTCATGCTGGGCTAGGCTATCACATCTACCAGTTTGCATGGGTTAGGGATGGGAGCAGATTGAGCAGGACTCAGCTGAAGCACTTGCCAGTAAGACTTGGGACTGGGGGCAGGGCGGGTCAAGTCAGGCTGCAGCATCCTATGTCAATGGCCAAAACAGTGATGGGCTATTCTGAGCTGGGTCAGAGCAACCACTGGCACATGCAAAGCTGTGGCTGGGAACAGGTCTAGTTGGGGAGCTAAGAGGACGTCCCAACTGGATTGTGGTTCCCAATGGTAAGTGTGAGGTCTGGAATGGGTGCAGTGGTTTGGGCTGGACATGGCTGCAGTATCCCTAGGCACGGGGGTGGACTGGATCTTGGGTGTGCCAGGCTGGGCTAGACTCCAGCACACACTGGTGCTTGTGAAAGCCAGGATGAGTACAGGTTAGGCTGGGCTATATCCTGACTTCTGCTGAGCCACATGAGAGCTGTGTCTGGTGTGGCTAGGCTGTAGTTCCCAAAAAGCAAAAACCAGAATAGGTGTGAGCCGGCTGGGCAAGGCCACTGTTTCTGCCATGTTCCAGATGGACTAGGTCAGCCCAGACCAAGGATCCACCAGTGTGCATGAGATCTACCACTGGGAGGAGATCTGATAGAAGAGCTTGGGGAACTCCATTGTTGAGACACAGTCCTTGAAGGCGAGCTCAGATCCATGACTGGGAGCAGCTCAGGCCAGGCCAGGTTACAATACCCACCATCATACATGTGGCTCAGGTCTGGGGGCAGTCCAGGTTAGGCCAGTTCATAACACCCACTGGCAAATCTGAGAACCAGGACAGCATACACAACAGGTCAGGCAGGACTACAGTGCCAGCCAGTAAACATCAGAGCCAGGACTGGCAGCTGGCTGTACCAGGTTGGGCAGCAGCACCCACCATTGCTACCTGGGACTAGGGGCAGACCAAGTCAAGCCAGACTATAGCACCTACTGGCAAATGCTGAAATGAGATGGGCCATGCCAGACTGGGTCGCAGCACCCAGCAGCATGTGGAGGACCTGGTGGGCGTTGTGCCAGCCCTGTAGCGGGGCTGTAGGAACTCTCCTGCTGGGCCACTGCTTCTGCTGGTGAGTGTGAGAGCTGGGACTGGGGGCAGATGAGGCTTGGCACGCCTATGATACCCGTCGGCTTGCACATGAAATGGGTTGGGGGAGTTAAGCTGGGCTACCCACTTGACAGTACACAGAAGGAATTGGTGGCACACTCCAGGGTTCTGATTGCTTTTATTTGTTTTGTTTTGCTTATAATTTGTTTATTTATTTATTTAAGTTTATTTCCTCCATCACCTGATTCTCACAAGATGTCTATCCTATATAGCTCCATCTTTTTTTTCTACAAATATAAAAAACTTGGCTGAATACCATCTGTATTATAATTCACCAGTTTTTAAAGTATGATTCAATGGTTTTTAATATTTACAAAGTTCTGTAAAATTGTCATCATAATTTATAACATTTTCATCATTCCAAGAAATCTTTTAACCCTTAGTAATCCCCATACTATTTCATTGTGCTGCTTTCTTACTATCTATCTATCTTTCTACAAAACAGTTACAGAGAAAGAAAGAGAGAAAGAAAAAGAGAGAGATCTTTTATCTGATGATTAACTCCCAAGATGACTGCAATATCCAGGGCTGGGACCAGGCCCATGTTAGAAGCCAGAATCCAGCTCCATAATGAGCCTAGGAAGGCAGGAGAAGACCACCCTAGTCCTTGAGCCCCTGGACCCATGTGGGAGACTCAGAAAAACCTCTTGCCTTCCGCCTGGTACAGCCCCTGGTTGTTGAAACCACCAGGAGAATGAACCAGCAGCTGGAAGATCTCTCTTTCTCTCTCTGTAACCCTTTCTATTAAATTAATAAAACAAATCTTTTTAAAAGTCCCAATAGATGCTGAAGGGCTTTTAACACATACTCTGTCATGAAATCACTACTAGTAGTCTTTCTGCAGAGAAACTTATTCCTATGAAAAACATTATGGGAAATACTGAAGGAAAAAAAAACAGCTAAAAAAAAAATCTAGGCAAGGAAAGTTCCATTCCAGCTAGCAAACAGAAAAGTTATAAATCTAATGAACACAATTCATTAAGTTAAGTGTGCTGGTGAAGTAATTATAAAGGAAAAGAGAATCAGTGCACCTGCTGTAACTCAGTGCTCTGCCAGCTCTTTCGTTAACACAGCTGGTGTTGAGATCTGGGTTTCATATATAACAAATATCACACACTTCCACTGCAAATTAGCTTAGGAAAATGGGACAAAGTGTTCCAGCCCTGTTGGCCAGAGATCTCTATAGAGAAAAAGAGTCTCACCAAAGGGCCCGGCACAGTAGCCTAGCGGCTAAATCCTCGCCTTACATACACCAGGGATCCCATATGGGCACCAGTTCTAATCCCAACTGTCCCACTTCCCATCCAGCTCCCTGCTGGTGGTCTGGAATGAGGATGGCCCAATGCCTTGGGACCCTGCACCCTTATGGAAGACCCAGAAGAAGCTCCTGGCTTCTGGCTCCAGATCAGCACAGCTCTGGCCATTGTGGCCACTTGGGAAGTGTTATCAGTGGATAGAAGATCTTCCTCTCTGTCTCTCCTCCTCCTCTCTGCATATCTGATTTTCCATTAAAAATGAATAAATCTTTAAAAACAGAGTTTCAGTGAAGTCACAGATGCTGGGTAAGAACAAAGTGTCATTTGGTTTACCTGTGGCAGAGTCCCTTTAAACTCATGATGGGAAGGTGCGGATAACAGAAGGTTGCCACAAGATTCCAAAACCTAGGGAGCCTGGCCATCACGCCATTTTAAAAAGTCCCCAAATCATTTCCAAAAGTTGAGATATACTAAGTAGCCGTAGACTTCCATTGAAATTGTG